GCCCAATTTGAGGTGGGGGACGCATGTGGGCGGTACCACTGGGGGCTTCGGTGGAGCTCCCCATGGGGTCACGAAGCGCTGTATTGGGTGGTTGAAAATGCCAAATTGGGCGTGGGGGGCGCATGCGGGCGGCACCACTGGGGGCTTCAGTGGGTCTCCCTGCGGGGCCACGAATTGGGCGGGTGGGAATGCCAAATTGGGCATGGTGGGCGCATGCGGGCGGTCCCCCTGGGGGCTTCGGTGGGGCTCCCTGTGGGGCCACGGAACGCTGTGTTGGGTGGGTGAAACGCATGGAGAAGGAAAAGGGAGGGGACGAGGAGGAGGAGGAGGAGGAGGAGGAGGAGGAGGAGAGGAGGAGGAGAGAAACGCGGGGCGACGTCTCTTCAAAACGATAACCCAACACCACATGATGGTTTGGAAAAAAACAATGATTTTCTTTTGGTGTTTGAAGGATTTTGGCCTCTTGGGGGCGTCCTTGGAGGCCTCGGAGGGCACTTGAAACCGTCTTGGGGCCGTCTTGAGGCCTCTCGGACGTGTGTCGGAGGCTATCTTGACTCATCTACCACTATCTTCGACCATCTTGGAGGCCATCTTGCGCTCTCTGAAGCCCTCTTGGAGCCATCTTGGACCAAAAAGGGCCTTCTGCCACAACGCGGGGGAGCCCGTCCAGACGCAGGGAGGGGGGGGAGGTAAACCTCCCGAGCAGGAAAAGGCAGGAGGTTGGAAAAGGAAACGCTCTAGACCACCAGCGCCCAGAGGGCTGGTGGGATTTGTGAGGCCGCGACGATGCGGTGACGGGGCGGCGACGGCGACGACATAGCCGCCGGAATTATAATCAGGCCCAGGCGATGGGCGGTGACGAGGTGGCGACGGGGCGGCGACCGCGAAAACATATCAACCAGAACTAAAATCAGGCCCAGGCGACGGCCGGCGATGAGGCGGCGACGGGGCGGCGACGGCGACAACATACCCACCAGACTTACAATCAGGATCAGACGACGGGCGGCGACGAGGCGGCGACGAGGCGGCGACGAGGCGGCGACGGGGCGGCGATGGCGACAACATAACCGCCAGACCGTCAAGAGACTGTTTGGGGAACTACACAGCAGTGCAAAGCAACGCAAAACACTGAAGCTACGCGTTGCAAATCAATGCAATGCAACGCAATGTAAGCAAGGAAACCCAATGCAAAGCAATGCAGCGCAATGCAGAGCAACGCAAATAATTTCAGGGCAAAGCAACGCACAGAAATGCACTACACTGCAAAGCAATTCAATGCAACGCACCAATCATGCATGCAAAGCAAGACAACGAAATGCACAGAAATGCCAAGCAATGCAACACAACGCAACACATTGCAAAGCAACGCAACACACTGCCATGCAAAGCAACGCAACACACTGCCATGCAAAGCAACGCAACGTAACACACGGCAAGGCACAGCAACGCAATGCAAAGCATTGCAAAGCAGAGACATCAATGCAATTCATTTCGTCGGCCCAACGGGCCAGAGGCGTGCTAAGATCTCCAGTAACTGGTTCACAGAGTAGATGTATATTCTAATTCGCGCGCGCGGGGCGGCCCCTGGGGGTCCCCAGACGAAACGTACCCCGGCCGACTCACAGCCAGGTCCTTAGGTCCGCTCAAGGATGCCGGAACCCCGGGGGCGGTTTTCAGGGCCTTCAAGATCGCCCTAGGCGCACCCAACGAGGCCCCCAACTGGCCCCTAAGAGGTCCCAAGAGGCCACGAACGCACAGGCAAACGCCTGCGATGGCACAGTACGGGCTGGTGGAATGAGCGAAGGGATCCGCCGACCCCGCCGCATGGTCTGTACGAACTCTTTTCCCTTAGTCCCTTGCCCACGCACTCCTCGTACCCATGCCCTTCCTCAGAGCCCTGGCAACCCCTCCTGGGGTCCTCCCCGCGGCCTGCTCATTCCGCCGGCCCAGGGGCCCGGGCTTCAGCCGCGGCGCCTTCACGCCACCACTTCCGTCCCAAAACGACCCCCCTTTCACGTGCTCGGCTTCCGAGCGCCACCAGTCCTCGCAGACACCTCTCGGGGAGCCTACAGGGCCAGTTTTGGGGGCCTCTCGGGGCTCTTCCTGAGCGGAGCTTGACCGCCCTTCGGGCCACCAACGGCCGTCCCGGGTGCCTCTTCCTTCTCTTCGAGTCTCAAACACCAGAAACCCCAACAAGCAACAAACATGGTAAACACACATAGGATTTTGACGATTCTGCCCTTGTCGGGCTGTTCCTGGCGCCTCCCTTGGAGCTCCCGTGTATCTCCGCGGGCTTCTGCGGCCATCTAGGGACCTGTGTGTGCTCTCTGCGGCCGCCCCCTTTACAGCCTCTCGGGGCCCTCCGTGCCCGTCTGGATTCCTCTTTGGTGCCGTCGTGAGCGGTCTTGGGCGCGCCCAGGGGGTCCCTGGCAGCCCTTCCGAGGCCCCAGAACTAACTGGCGATGCTCCTTTCTGCCTCTCTGTATCCCTCTTCCGTTTCCCCCGCCAATTTCGACACCTTTGGGTGCCTTTTTCGTCCGTTTTAGGCCCTTTGTGGGGCCCTCTGGAGACCTTCTTGGACTCTTCTCCACGTCTTCTTGGACCCTCTGGGGCCGAACTGGACTCCCCTAGAAGGAAACTCCGGGCTCCCACAACAAGTGAGTGGGGCGGCGGTGTCTGCCCTCTCAGGGGCGTTCAAGTAAATAGAAGGCAGCGCATTGCACATCAACGCAGAGCAATTCAAAGTAATGCCATGCAAAGCAACGCAAAGCAACGCAAATCAACGAAAAGCAACGCAAAGCAACGCCAAGGGTCCGCAAAGCAAGGCAAAGCAATTCACAGCAGGGCAACACAAAGTAAAGCAAGGCGAAGCAACGCAATACAAAACATGCAACACAATGCAAAGCAATGAAGGGCAAGTGTAAGTCCTAGCAGTGCCTGCCTGTGCTTAGGAGAACAGGGAGGTTGCATTTGAGACGCGTTTTATTCCTCATACGTAGCGTCACGTTTGGTGGCACTGGGACGCCCCGGGCTATAATTGTTACGGGTGGCTCTTCTTGTTCGTGTCTGTCTGTGTGCCGGGGGGGCAGGATTTGTCCGCCCAGGCCGGCTCCTACAGATTGGCTGTTGGAGAAGGGATCGTTTTTTACCTAACAGCGAAGACTGATAGGTTTTTAGTGGTGTCAAAAGAGCTCACAGATCACTCCACAGGGGGGTCCGGGCAGGTGTTGGGAGTTGCCGGGCGGCAGGGTGCCCCGCTCGTTTTTCACCAACAGTCACACACTTCGTGCTCTTCGAGTTCCCAGAACTCCATTCCCACGCTCATTCTGAATAACCGGATGCAACAGTCACACACTTCGTGCTCTTCGAGATCCCAGAACGCCATTCCCGGGCCACATTTAGAATAACCGGATGCAACAGTCATACAATTCCTCGTACTTGACACCCCAGAACTCCATTCCCGGGCCACATTTTGAATGCCCGGAGCCAACTGTAGGCCACTTCGTGCTCTTCGATTTCCCAGAACTCCATTCCCGGGCCACATTTTGAATGCCCGGAGCCAACTGTAGGCCACTTCGTGCTCTTCGATTTCCCAGAACTCCATTCCCGGGCCACATTTTGAATGCCCGGAGCCAACAGTAGGCCACTTCGTGCTCTTCGAGTGCCCAGAACTCCATTCCTGGGCCACATTTTGAATGCCCGGAGCCAACTGTAGGCCACTTCGTGCTCTTCGAGTTCCCAGAACTCCATTCCCGGGCCGCATTTTGATGCTGATGCAGAGGCTGAGAATGGTGATGCTGATGCTGAGGCTGAGGCTGAGGCAGGCAGGCTGAGGCTGATGAGGCTGAGGCAGGCTGAGGCTGAGGCCGAGGCTGAAGGCAGGCTGAGGCAGACGCTGAGGCTGAGGCTGAGGCTGAGGCTGAGGCTGAGGCTGAGGCTGAGGCTGAGGCAGGCTGAGGCTGAGGCTGAGGCTGAAGGCAGACTGAGGCTGAGGCAGGCTGATGCTGAGGCAGGCTGAGGCTGAGGCTGAGGCTGAGGCGGATGCAGGCTGATGCTGAGGCAGGCTGAGGCACAGAGGCCCGAGGCTGAAGGCAGACTGAGGCTGAGGCTGAAGCAGGCTGAGGCTGAGGCTGAGGCAGGCTGAGGCTGAGGCTGAGGCAGGCTGATACTGAGGCAGGCTGAGGCTGTGACTGCGACTGCCGCTGCCACTGCGACTGTCATCGCGAATGCGACTGCGACTGCGAGAACAGCAGAACTCTACAACTGGATTATCATCTGAATCTTAAGGGGAATGCTTCCATATATGCTTCTACACATCGCTGTTAGGTTGCTTTGCCGGGATAATTTTGAAACCCAGAATTTTACACAGCCTGTGTACCACAGGATCGCGTTGAGCTCAAGGTGGCAGCTGCTGGTGCGCACTCTTTGTTTGGAGATAGTTCTCGCAAGCAGTGGCGGAAGCGAGCTTCGCGGAGTAGATTCTGTTAGGCCGCGTGGGTCAGTGGATGCAGCAGTTGTTTTCGCATGAGACCTTGGGGATGCGCCTTAGGAGCCTGTTTCTTTGGGCGTCTACCTCCCAGTGCTGCATGAGCCTTGGGGCACTTCATTGCGTGCCCCCCAAAAAAAGCAAGCACTGCAACGGCGGCGACGAGCGGCGACGGCGGCGACGAGGCGGCGACGGCGACGACAAAGCCGCAAGACCGACGCACAGGTCAAGACGACGGGCGGTGATGAGGCGGCGACGGGGCGGCAACGGCGACACCATAGCCGCCAGTCTGGCCTGCAGGCCGAGACGACGGGCGGCGACGAGGCGGCGATGGGGCGGCGACGGCGATAACATAATTAGCTGCCAGACCGACAACCAGGCCCAGTTCCGTAGAAAAGAGGCGAGAAATCAATAGTACAAGCATTGTTTGGGAAATATACACACGTACATATTTTATGGCCCAAGCGTGTTAATGGTGGTCTTCGTCGGGTCTTGCGGCACCTGGCCCGGAAAGGCGCGGCAACGCGTGGCTGCCGCCTTGGCGGAGCAGTCTGCCGCGATGATGGTATGGAGCCAGAGTCAGGCGGGCAGGGCAAGGCAGGGGGGGGATGGGAGGATCGGGCAGGGAATGGGGTGGGAGGAGAGGGAGGGAGGGAGAGAGGGAGGGACACGAAGGTTCGCGTGTGGGCGAGAGGGCAGTTCGGTAAGGGTTCTCTCTTTATTTAATCGCTTCGCTCATTCCGCCGGCCCGTATTGTGCCATCGCAGGCGTTTGCTTGCGCGTTCGTGGCCTCTTGGAGCCTCGGTGGGGCCGTTTGGGGCCTCTTGGCGCCTCTTTTTAGGCCTCTTGGAGAACTCGGGAGGCCTCCAGGGGGCCTCCTGAGCTCTCGTGACGGTCTCTTGGGGGGCTTTCGGCGGGCTCTTGGCGGTATTTGTTGGTCCTCTTGGGGCCTGGGGCCTGACGTTGTTGGTCCTCTTGGGGCCTCACGGGAGCTTATTGGGGCGTCTTGGGGGTGTCTTGGAGAGTCTCTTGGGGCCTCTTTCGGGGTCCTGGGCGCCTTCTGGGGCGGAGGGCTCGATTTTTCAGTTCTCGGTTCCCTTCTTGAGCCCCTCTTGGGCCCGTCTTGGGGCCTCTTGGTCCGCCTTGGGCAGCACTTGGGCCGTCTGGGGGGCGCTCTTGGGCCGCTCCGGGGCCGTCTTGGGAGCCTCGTGGGCCGTCTTGGAGCAGTCTTGAAGGCCTCTTGGGCCCTCTTGGAGCGTCCGGAAGCGAAAAGGCCAGAACGCAAAAAAACATCGAAAAAACCAATGAAAATCAACGATTTTGGCAACTTGGGGCCCTCTTCGGAGGCCTCTTGGAAGGCCCTTGGAGCGTCTTGGAGGCCTCTTGGGCTGTCTTGGGGCCATCTGGGGCGTCTTCGGGCGATCTTTGGCCGTCTCGGGCCTCTCTTGGACCGTCTAGAAAGCTTCTCGGGGCCCTCTTGGACCGATCTGGAGCCCTCTTGGACTCCGAAACAGAACTCCGGCATCTCTGACCCGACCTTGCCGGGACCTTGCCGGGGACTTGCCGGGACCTTGCCAGGGTACTTTTCGTCCGGGGACCCCCAGGGGCCGCCCCGCGCGCGCGAACTAGAAATACTGTTAACCAGGTACCGGAGATCTTAGCACGCCCTGGCCCGTTGGGCCGGCGAATTTAATCGCTTCGCTCATTCCGCCTGCCCATATTGCAGCTGCGCTGTCGTTTGTCGGGGTGTTGTTGTCAATGCGGTGCGGTTGGGCGGCTGCCATTTTTCGGAGGCGGTGGGTGGCGGGTCAGAGGCTTCACGGATGTTGGTTGGGCTCTCGTGGTTTGCCTCTCAGGGGCCTTTTGGGAGGCAGTTTTGAGGCCTCTTGGGGGCCGTGTTGGGGCCTCTTGGGGCCTCTTGGGGGACTCTTGGGGCTTCTTGGGGTGCCTCTTGGGGGCCCCTGGGGGCCTCTTGGGGCCTCTTGGGGCCTCCTGGGGGCATCTTGGGACTGAAGGCTGGACTTTTCGGTTCCTGGTCACCTTCTTGGGCCCCTCTTGGGGCCGTTCTGGGGCTCTCTTGGGCCGTCTTGGGCGCCTCTTGGGCTGTCTTGGGGCCATCTTGGGCCGTCTTGGGGCTGTCTTGGGGTCCTCATGGACCCTCTTGGGGCGATCTTGGGAGCCTCAAGGGCCATCTTGGAGCGTCGGGAAGCCAAAAAAAGAGAAACCCGAAAATTTGTCCAAACCTAAGGGAAATCAATGAATTGTTGACGCTTCGCGTATCCCCACCAGCCCATCCAGAAACGATGCTCAGGGGAGTTGAGGTGATCAGGGAAGTCGGGGAGCATTAACAAAGGGCGGGGGAAGCTGTCACAGACCCCGAGAGGGGGAGGATGGAAGAGGAGTCGTCGTCGTCGTCGTCGTCGTGGAGGACGGAGAAGGAGGAAGAATCGGAGGAGGAGGAGGAGGAGGGGAAGGAGCTTCTTGGGGGTCTTTTGAGGGCCTCTTGGAGGGCTTTTTGGGCGCCTTGGGGCATCTTGGGCGCCTCTTGGGACCCTCTTGAGGCGCTCTGGGGAGCCTTCGGGGCGCTTTTGGGGCCATCTTGGAGGGAGTCGATCAAACAAGAGGGGGGGTTTAATTAGCGTCCCCCCTCGGAAGCCCCTAAAATCGCCTCTTGGACCCCTCTTGGAACGCTCTTGGAGTGCTCTTGGGCGCTCTTGGGGCCGTCTTGGGGCTCTTTTGGGGCTCTCTTGGGGCCCTCTTGGGCCATCTTGGAGCCATCTCCAGGCCTCGGATGGCCATCGGAAGCGAAAAGGCGAGAAAGCAAAAATCATTGATTTTCCTTAGGTTTTGGGACGATTTTGGCCTCTTCGGGGCCTCCTTGGGGAGCTGTTTGGCCACTTGGAGTTATCTTGGGGCCGTCTTTGGGCTTCTTGGAACCATCTTAGGAGCCATCGTGAGCGATCTTGCGCTATCTTGAGCCATCTTGGAGCTCATCTTGGGTTCTCTGAGGCGCTCTTGGAGCCGTCTTGGGCCATCTTGGACGCTCTAACTACCCGCGGCCCCCCCCGTCCAGGTCCAGGGGAGGGGGTAGGGGGAGGGGTAAACCCCTCCCCAAGGGGGAAGAGGGAGGGGTGGAAGAGGATCTGCTCTAGACCACCTACGCCCAGAGGGCTGGTGGGATTTTGCCTCTTGGGGCCCTCTTGGGAGTGCTTTTGGAGGCGTCTGGAGGCCATGGTGGGCGTCTTGGAGCGATCTTATGGCATCGTCAGCCGATCTTTCGAGGATTCCAAGGGCTCTTGGACCGTCTGGGCGCTCTCTTGAGGCCGTCTTGGGCGCCTCTTGAGCCGTCTGGGGGGCCTCCAGCATCTCTGGCAGGCACTTGCCGGGACTTTGGCGGGGTACTTGTCGCGTCGGGGGCGCGCGAACTTGTTATATTGTTAACTTGTCACCGGAGATCTTAGCACGCCTCTGGCCCGTTGGGCCGGCGAACTGCCGTGCCTGAGGCAGGGAGGTCAGGCGTCCACCTTGGGTTCCTGCTCCTGCTGCAGAGACTCTCTCTCACCTTCCTGCCTCTCAAAACTGTGCATCTTTCGTTTTTTCGTGTGAGGCCATCCGCAAGTGTTTGTGTTTCTTCAGACGCCACATTCGCGGACCCCTTTGGAATGTTCTGAAATTGGTTACGGCTGGCCTCCGTGGAATGGCTCCTGGAAGAATGGACGTGGGTTCGTTGGACTGCGTGGCAAGTCTGTGGCGGCAGGAAGACGCACGCCTGGTGCTCCAGCGTGGATGCTTCGGCCTTTGGCCTTAGGCGCATTTCCAGGATATCGTTGGCCGTCAGGGCTGTCTTGGGGTCCTGTTCGGACTTGGTGAAGACTGCCTTGAGGCTGTTGTGGCCGCGATGTTTTTTGTTGAGGAAACCTGCTCGAATCTGATTGGGTTTGATACAAGGCTTCTTCGACCCTATGAGTCCGTCTTGATGCGTTTTGGAGTCCTTTTGAGATCTGGGCGTTCTATTGGGCCACCCTGTTGATGCTCTCTTGGCCATTCGCGTGCCTCCTCTGGGGCCCTCTGGAGCCATCTTGGGGTTATCCTGAGGAGTTCGTTGCCCGCGAGCCACCTTCGGGCGCTCCCGGCCCGCCTTGGACCGCCATGAGGCTTCCCTGAAACCATCTGAAGCATACCAGCTGCACACGCAAGTACCCAGGGACGTTCCCAACCCGTCTGCAACACGAGGCAGCATCAACGGGTCCAGCCAAAAAGAAGGATCATAGGAACGGAATGCGGTCCACTGTGAAAGCCATAAGGGAAAAAAGCCCCCCTGGGCCCATTCGAAGCAATTCTTTGGGAAACGGGTGGACGGGGAAGGAAGGAAGGACAACGAAGAGAAGGAGGATGAACAATTAGGCAAAGAGAAGAGGGAGGTGCGTGCGACCGCCCCGCAGTACCAGGGATGGGGAGGTCCAGTTAAGATCTGCGTAGCACCGCAGGGACGCAACAAAGCGGCGACAGTCGTGCGCCTGGCAGCACCCAGGAACGGCGCGGCCCCGCGTGGGTTTGCGTGTGGAATCACTCCGCTGGACCCCGCAGGGGCGCATCAAAGTGGCGACTGCTGCGCGCCTCGCAGCTTCAAGGGGCGGCGCGGTCCTGTTTGGGTCTGCCCGGTTGAACAATTGCGAAGGATGTGCGCCGGGCATGGCCCTGAGGAGGGCGAAGCGCCTATTTCGATCTGCCTGGGTCGTCACTCCACTGGACCCCCCAGGAGGGGGCGATGTCCTGTTTGGTTTCGCGTGGGGCGTCGTTCCGCTCCACCCCAGAGGCGCCTGGGAAGGCAAGTACCCGCTTGACAGCACCTGGGAGGCAAGTACCCGCTTGAGTCTGCGTGTGTCACCACGGGTGCAGCAGAGTGGCGATAATTAGCTGGGCGCGCTCGCAGGGAGGGCCAGGTGCCATTTGGGTCCACATCTGTCGTGTTCCGAAGGACCACCCCGGGAGCAGGGAAGCGGCCACATTTAAGCGCCTCGCAGCACCCAGGGAGGGCGAGGTCCTGTTTGGGCCTGCGTTGGACGTCACTCCGCTGGACCCCCCCTGGAGCGCAGGAAAGCGGCGACAGGTGCGCGCCTGGCATTGCCCATATGAGGGCGAGGTGCTGTCAGGATCCGCGTGGGGGGTTGCTCCGCTTGATCCCCCAGGGGCACAGCCAAGTGGCGACAGTTGGGCGCCTGGCAGCGCCCCGGGGCGCGTTGGTCGTTTTTGGGCGGGAAATCGCGGGGTGCGGAGTCGCAAGAACACAGGCTCCGTGGGTGCAGGGGCTGGGGCCAGGTGGGGGGCATGGAGGGGGGCGTTGGTTTTTTTTGGGCGTGGAATCGTTGGGTGCGGGGTCCCAAAAACAGAGGCTCCGTGGGTAAGGGTGCCGGGGCCAGGTGGGGGGCATGGAGGGGGCGTTGGTCGTTTTTGGGTGGGAAATCGTGGGGTGCGGGGTCCCAAGAACAGAGGCTCCGTGGGTGGGGGTGCTGGGGCCAGGTGGGGGGCATGAAGGAGGGCGTTGGTCGTTTTTTTGGGGGAAATCATGGGGTGCGTGGTCCCAAGAACAGAGGCTCCGTGGGTAGGGGTGCCGGCCGGGGCCAGGACGGGGGGGAATGGAGGAGGGCGTTGGTCGTTCTTGGGCGGGAAATCTTGGGGTGCGGGGTCCCAAAAACACGGGCTCCGTGGATGGGTGTGCCGGGGCAAAGTGGGGGCATGGAGGGGGGCGTTGGTGGTTTTTGGGCGGGAACTCGTGGGGTGCGTTGCGTGGTCCCAAGAACAGAGGCTCCGTGGGTAGGGGTGCCGGGGCCAAGTGGGGGCTCCGCGGGTGGGGGTGCTGGGGCCAGGTGGAATGCATGGAGGGGGGCGTTGGTCGTTTTTGGGCGGGAAATCGTGGGGTGCGGGGTCCCAAGAACAGAGGCTCCGTGGGTGGGGGTGCCGGGCCAGGTGGGGGGCATGGAGGGGGGCGTTGGTCGTTTTTGGGCGGGAATTCGTGGGGCGCGGGGTCCCAAGAACAGAAACTTCGTGGGTGGGGTGCCGGGGCCAGGTGGAGGGCATGGAGGGGGGCGTTGGTTGTTTTTGAGCACGCTCGTGGAGTGCGGGGTCCCAAAAACAGAGGCCCCGTGGGTGGAGGTGCCGGGGCCAGGTGGGGGGCATGAAGGAGGGCGTTGGTTGTTTTTGGGCGGGAAATCGTAGGGCGCGGGGTCCCAAGAACAGACTCCGTTGGTGGGGGTGCCGGGGCCAGGTGGGGGGCATGGATGGAAGCGTTGGTCGCTATTTGGCGGGAAATAGTGGGGTGCGGTGCCCCAAGAACAGAGGCTCCGTGGGTGGGGTTGCCGGGGCCAGGTGGGGGGCATGGAGGGGCGTTGGTCGTTTGCGGGCGGGGACTCGTGGGGTGCGGGGTCCCAAGAACAGAAACTCCGTGGGTAGGGGTGCCGGAGCCAGGTGGAGGGCGTGGAGGGGGGCGTTGGTCGTTTTTGGGCGGGAAATCGTTGGGTGCGGGGTCCCAAAAACAGGGGCTCCGTGGACGGGTGTGCCGGGGCAAGATGGGGGGCATGGAGGGGGGCGTTGGGTGGGCGGGAAATCGTGGGGTGCGTGGTCCCAAGAACAGAGGCTCCGTGGGTGGAGGTGCCGGGCCCAGGTGGGGGGCATGGAGGGGGGCGTTGGCCGTTTTTGAACGGGAAATCGTGGGGTGCTGCCCAGAGGCTCTTGAAGCTCTCTGAATGCTTAAGCCTTAAGCATTGGGGGAGCTCTCCCGGTGTCCAATGCTTAAGGGTTTCACGCCCCTGACGATTTCCAAAAATTGTTGCGCGTTATTAAAAAAAGCGCGCTGGGCGACCGCAAAAACAACATAATTAACGCCAAACGACAGTTCAAATCAAAAACAACAAACGAAAACCATCGAAATTCACCGCCCAGCCAGCGCAAAACTTTTCGCGCGGTCCAAAAAAGCGCGCTGGGAGACGAAGGAATCAACCACTTTGGCGCCAAACGAAAGCGCAAATTTAAAATTAAACAAAAAACGCGCATTCGACCACCCAACAGACGGGAAACTCCTCGTGCGATTCGGAAATGCGCGCTGAGCGACAAAAGAAACAACATTTTTAGCGCCAAGCGGAAACGCAATCCCCGTATTTTTGTCTGTTGTTCTTCTTTTTTTTCGGTTTATATAAAAAGAAAACAAAACAAACAAAACAAACACATTTTATAGCCCACCAAACGGAAACACTCTTCGCGAGATTGAGTGAATACACGCTGGGCCACCGAAGCGAATATTCTTTCAGCGCCAAGCGACAGCACACATAAACAAAAATGCTGTAAACAACAAGGCGCATTGTACCACGAAAACGCAAAACCACATATGGTTAAATAAAACATTTAATTGATAGACGGGCGATGAGGGCAAACATACACACCGAAACACGAAACTGATTTCCCAGAGCGTCTGGCTCGAAATGGCCGAGGTGTCCAAACCTTTCTTTCGCTGGAGAACGCTCGTCGAAGACGACTTCTTTGGCCTGCCCGGCCTGTGGTCGTTCCCGCCAGATCCCCGCCCCCGCTGCGCCGTTCTCCCGCGCGATGTGCCAGTCTTCTCCCCACTGGACTACTATGAAGAACGTCTGGATTATTCTCGGTACAATCCCCCTGGCGCTGAAGATGTGCTCCATCCATGGGAGCCCTTGGTCTGGCGATGGGCTGATGATCGTGTGGTTCTGGGAGGACCAACAAGTACCGATACCGCTATCCCCAAACCTCTCCAAGAGTACTCTCTGAACAGAATCTCGAAGCGAATCCAACCGTGGCAACGAGGAATCCCCAGAAAGCCCAAGAAGGACAAAACGGCGGCGGGGTAGCGGTGTCGGTACATTTTCCTCTTCTGAGGTTCGGCTTCCTTGGTTCGCCTACCCCGAGTACATCACGAGTTCTGAAGACTCCGACGCTGAGACCGTCAACTCGTCCCGTTCCAGGGGCCCTCCTATCGTCGACCTCGACCCGCCCATATTTTTGGACTCGCCCATGGACATCGATTGAGGCCAGGGACTTGGGGGAAAAATACGGGGGTGGGAAAGGGGGCTCCGTTAGATACCGTAAGATATCGTAAGATGCACCCTCTCACCAGGCATTCTGGCCCACTGGGATGTAGAAGCGCCTCGACATGTAGAGGCATATGTAGGACCAGCTTCAAGGTCTCTCCCCCTACCTCACCTTCACAGCCTTTTCGGCTTCAGATGGCGTCGGCCGGTCAAAGGACCGAGGGCCCTTCCGAGGAGGAGGGCCCCCAGGGGGCCCAGGACTTCCCGCGGGCCCCAAGCGAGCAATGCGACGCTCTCGTGGCCGCCATCAGCGAGGTCGGCGCGACGCAAATCGCACGCACCCTCCCCCATGAGATAGCGTAAGATGACGTAAGCTACACGATATCCGAAGAATACACCCACCCATGCCCATAGGGGATCGCCCCCGCCCCCCCATATGGGCGTGGACGTGCGGCGCCCCCCAGGGCTTGACTACGGAGCGGGTGCAGCGCTGCGAGAGGATCAAGGAGCTCTTCGTGGTGGGGACGATCGTGCCGCCAGATGGCAAACCCAAGGTGCCCTCCTCATTCTCTACTCTCCACCCCCCCTTCCCCATAAGATATCGTAAGATACCGTAAGATGGGGGAGATGCGAGGGCGCGCCCCTGCACCTCCCTCATCCCGTCTCCACTTCTCCACGCCCTGTGCCCAGAGGTGAGCCAGAACGACATCAAGTCGAAGTTTGATATCATCAAGGCGATCTTGACGAGGCTGAAAGGCCGGCCTTCGGAACGCACTTTCAGATTCTTACCCCCCCCCACTCTCTCTCCTTCTCTCTCTCCCTCTCCCTAGTCCTTCATGTCCCTCGTCCTCGAGAAACCCTTGCCATCTCGCTAACTTCTCGACAAACCCTTGTCCCCTCGTGTCTCTTGCATTGGGGCTCATGCCAAGAAACGCCCTGCTTCCCTCCAGGGTACTCTGGGTCTCTTGGGTTTCCGTGGTATTCCTGGGGACGTGTAAGGTCCCTGGACAAAAAAATGATGGGTTTCTGAGGGGATTTCTTGCGGAAAGCTTGGGTTTCTGAGGGGATTTCTTGCGGAAAGCTTCTTGTGGCCGAGCTCCTACTGTACGCCACCTCGCGCCATGCGGGCGCATGGCGTAAGGTAGCGTAAGATATCGTAAGATGGCACAGGCTGCGTTTCGAAGGGGCCTTGAGAACCGCCGCCTAGGGGTCCAGCCCACCGCAGATGTCTACAGCATGGCAGTGCATGAGCTGGACAGGTGCAGCGAGTGGAACATGGGCCGCACTGTCGAGCAGGAGAGAGGCGATGTGCCCTCGAAATGGAGCAACTACGAGGGATCGGTCGAACGGACATCGAAAGATAAAACCGTAAGATACCGTAAGATATCGTAAGTGACAGACTGGCCGTCAGACAACGACGAGGAAGACACACATGTCTATAGCATTGCGCTATGCGGTGCTATGCTATGCCAAGCTGGGGCATCAAACGCCATACTATACCATAAGATATCGCAAGTGCCAGGCTGGCCGACGAACAACGATGATGGACGCACACACACACACGCATATAGCATTGAGCTATGCTGTGCTATGCTATGCCACGATGTGGCATCAAACGCCGTAAGATACCGTAAGATATCGTAAGTGTCGGTCTGTCTTAATATTTGTGTTTGTGCTAGTTTTTGTTGTGGCCGACGAATCAACGATGAGACGACAGATATATACACACACATTTTTTTTTTTTTCTTTCTTTTTTTTTTTTTTATTTTTTCACACAGCAATACACACATATATTTATATTTATATATATATATATATAAATATAAATATATATATATGTACACATATGGGAGATCCCGGGCCCCGGGCCCCGGGCCGGAACCCCCCTTGTATATAGGGTGCGGCCCTCTCCCGGGGCGCCCTTCCGGCGGCCCCCGCGCGTTCCAGCCCGCCCAAGAGGGCTCCAGGAGCGCCGAGAGAACCCCAGGAGCGCTTTTTTTTTTTTTTTTTTCTTTTTTATTTTATTTTTTTTTTTTTTTTTTTTTTTATTTTTTTTTTTTTGTTTTCTTTTTTTTTTTTTTTTTTTTTTTTTTTTTTTTCAAGACCGCCACGGATCGCTTCCAGAAGGGTCAAGACGCGCTCAAACCGCCCCAAGAGGCCTTCAAGAGGCCCCCCACGTGCGCCCCGGGAGACCAAAATGGCCCCATTCCCCTAGTAAAACGTACATTTTTACGATATCAGCTCCCTTAGTTGTCGGAGCGGCCCGAAAGCCCCACGAGGCGCCCAAGGACGCTCCAGGACGACTGAGGACAGCCCCAAGACGGCCCAGGAGGCCCTCCCGGGACGCCCCTCCGGCGGCCCCCGGGCTGCCCAGTCCGCCCAAGAAGGCTCCAAGAGCGCCGAGAGAACCCCAGGATCGCTTCAACACCGCCACAGATCGCTTCCAGAAGGGTCAAGACGCGCTCAAACCGCCCCAGGAGGCCTTCAAGAGGCCCCCCACGTGCGCCCCGGGACACCAAAATGGCCCCATTCCTTTCGTAAAACGTACATTTTTACGATATCAGCTCCCTTAGCTGTCGGAGCGGCCCGAAAGCCCCACGAGGCGCCCAAGGACGCTCCAGGACGACTGAGGACAGCCCCAAGACGGCCCAGGAGGCCCTCCCGGGACGCTCCTCCGGCGGCCCCCGGGCTGCCCAGTCCGCCCAAGAAGGCTCCAAGAGCGCCGAGAGAACCCCAGGATCGCTTCAAGACCGCAAAAGATCGCTTCCAGAAGGGCCAAGAGGCCATCAAACCGCCCCAAGAGGCCTCCAAGAGGCCCCCCAAGAGCGCCCCGGGAAACCAAAATGGCCCCATTCCCTTCGTAAAACGTACGTTTTTAGGATATCAGTTCCCTTGGCTGTCGGAGCGGTCCGAAAGCCCCACGAGGCGCCCTAGGATAGCCCGAAGACAGCCCAGGAAGGCTTCCCGGGACGCTCCTCGGGCGGCCCCCGGGCCTCCCAGTCCGCCAAAGAAGGCTCCAAGAGCGCCGAGAGAAGCCCAGGATCGCTTCAAGACCGCAAAAGATCGCTTCCAGAAGGGCCAAGAGGCCATCAAACCGCCCCAAGAGGCCTCCAAGAGGCCCCCCAAGAGCGCCCCGGGAAACCAAAATGGCCCCATTCCCTTCGTAAAACGTACATTTTTAGGATATTTCATCCCTTGGCTGTCCGAGTTGTCAGACAGCCCCAGGAGGCGCCCAAGGACGCCCCAGGACGCCTGAGGACAGCGCTAAGAGGGCTTCCTGGGACGCTCCTCGGGCGGCCCCCGGGCCTCCCAGTCCGGCCCCCGACGCCAAGGAGGTTCCCAAGAGGGCGCCCAAGACGGCCCGAGAGGGGTGCGCCCCGACGGCCAAAGAGGCCCAAGACGGCCGAGTGGGCCCAAGACAAGAAGACAAACCCAAGAAGGCCCAGGATGCACCAAGAGGCCCCCAAGAGGGCCCCCAGAGGCTTCCAAGAGTGTGGTTGCCTAAGAGGCCCAAAAGTGGCGAGGGGCAGGCGGCAGAGAGGTCGGACGAAGCTGTCAGTTTCCATATCCTATGCCGGCCCGGCGCATCTGGGAGGGGGATGGGGAGGTCGTGGGGGGGGGGGGAGGGACGGGGTGTATGAGGTGGAGAAGGAGGAGAAGGAGGAGGGGGAAGGAGGGGGAGGAGGAGTGAGGGGGAGGAGGGGGAGATGGGGTGGAAGGAGGAGGAGAGGAGGAGGAGGAGGAGGAGGAGTAGGAGGAGTAGGAGGAGGAGGAGGAGGAGGAGGAGGAGTTTGAGCAAGTGGAAGAAGGAAGGATTCAGAAGGAAGGAGGAAACGGTGGAGCGGGGATGAGCCTCTTCATTTGAGATGTTGAGGCGTTCGGGTTCGATTTCCGGGCTCGGGTCTTCGGTCTCAAGGTTCGGGTCTCAGGGTGAGGGCGTCATGGAAAGATTGTTCGGGTTTGAGTGCTCTCGTGGATCTTCTTGGGAGCCTCATGGGCCCTCTTGGGGCCATTTTGGGCCGTCTTGAGGCCGTCTTGGGCTGTCTTGGGGCCATCGTCGGCCATCTTGAGGCCCTCTTGGAGTCCCAAAAGGCCCAAGAGGCCGAAATTGTTGATTTTCCATAGGTCTTTCTATGTTTTGAGGCCCAGAATGAGGCCCTCCAGATTTGGTCCGACGATGTGGCGCGGCTCCAAGGGGGGTGGGCATAAGAGTGCAGAACATTACAATATGTAGCATATGTAACAAGTATGCAATCGTTGGATACACAGGACACGTTGCATTAAAGCATCCACGGACCTGCCTCTGGCAACACGTCATTTTCGGACGTAGATTTCCCGCGAATCGCCACGGAATCGGACCCGTGCTTGCGAACACCGTTTTCGGAACAAACTAGAACCTAAGCGCGCGCGAAGCGCGCGCGTGGTTCTAGTATATATATATATATATATATATATGTAAATAGTATTGAACTATGCCATGCTATGCTATGCTATGCCACGCTGCGGCACCAGACGCTGTCAGACACTGTAGGATATCGCAAGTGCCAGGCTGGCCGTCGGACAATGATGATGAAGACACGCAAGTATCTGAAACATTCAACTATGTCATGATATGCCATGCCGCGCTCTGGCATCAAACGCCGTAAGATACCGTAAGATATCGTAAGTGCCAGGCTGGCCGACGAAATACGATGAAGAACACACGCATATCTATATACATATGTACGTACACTGTTGAACTATGCTATGCTGTGCCACGCTGTGGCATCAAACGCCGTAAGATACCGTAAGATATCGTAAGTGACAGACTGGCCGTCAGACAACGATGATGAAGACACACACATCTACAATATTGAGCTATGCTATGCTATGCCACGCTGCGGCATCACACGCCATAAGATACCATCAGATATCGCAACTGCCAGACTGGCCGACGAACAATGATGATGAACACACACACACGCACAGACACACGTATATAGTATTCAACTATGCTATGCTATGCTATGCCACGCTGCGGCACCAAACGCCGTAAGATGTCGTAAGATATCGTAAGTGCCAGGCTGGCCGTCGGACAACGTTGATGAAGGCACGCGCGTATCTGTAGTATTGAACCATGCCATGATATGCTATGCCACGCTGTGGCATCAAACGCCGTAAGATACCGTAAGATATCGTAAGTGCCAGGCTGGCCAACGAACAACGATGAAGAACACGCATATCTATATATAAACAATATTGAGCTATGCTATGCTATGCCACGCTGTGGCATCAAACGCCATAAGATACCGTAAGATATCGTAAGTGCCAGGCTGGCCCACGAACAACGATGAATAACACAAACGCATATACATACAATATTGAGCTATGCTATGCTATACTATGGCATCAAACGCCGTAAGATACCGTAAGATATCGTAAGTGTCAGACTGGCCGACGAACAATGATGATGAACGCACGCACGCATATATACATATGCAAACCCGCAGGTCATCCACGCGATGGTCAGCTATTTGTTGCGCCTGGCCAGATCTTCCAGAACAGGGTCAAGGGACCGATGTGGGTCCAAGGGTCTCCCTCTACCTCAAGAAGAGGATGGGGAGGTGGAGGAAGAAGAGGAGGGGAATGGGGATGGTGGGCGTTAGATACCGTGAGATAGCGTAAGTTGCTCCCCTCTCCCCTCCCCCTCAAAGAAAGGAGATGGAGGAGGAGGAGAAGGGGGAAGGGGGATGGGCGCGGATGCTCGTGAAAAAAAACGAGTGA